TCCTTGACAGTTTGACGATGTGTTTTTTCATTCACGGACATTGACACGCGCGATGCGTTGATTTTTTCCTTGTGCTCTCAAAAAATATTGACAAAAATACTTTTTTTTTTTTTTTTTTTTTTTGTCTAACGAAATGCATAGCCGAACGATACACGTACAATTTACTGATCGATAAAAAATATTTGTACAGAGGTGGGGCTCCAAAAATAACATCTGCATCATGCATCCGACGATGAGCCAGACTCGAGTAAATGAATAAAAAATGAGACACATTAGACGTCGTCTTCCACGTACATTATGTAGGTAGCGTGTGTCACATAGGTATGCATCTCCGAGGGAATGAATGTGGGCTTTCTCCCGAACTCGCGTGATTTTCATATTCATTATATACTCGTATCAACCATGTACGATTTTATCATTTCACACGAAACGTAAGCGATACTCCAGGTTTTTTTGCAGCTATTTTTACTTTGTCACGAAATCCAGTGACTCTCTATGGTGTCCTACTCTTCACAAACACCACTGTTGGAACAGCGCAAGGTGGAGTCACCCATTTTTTTTTATCTACGTTACAATATAATCTTTTGGAAAAAAAAAAAAAAACAAACAAATAACTTAAAAATAGAAATTAAACAATTTAATTTTCGAGCAACTTGTTCTAGGCGAGTACGTCGACGAGAGCATCTTTAACACGTCGCATGTGCGCGCTAAAAAAACCCAATGTACAAATCGGAATTTGAAGAGAGAACTGGTTCGTCATCGCAGGAGGGGGGCAGAAAAAAGACGAGCGGCGAGGAGGGGGGAGCGGCGACTTGGCGCGTACACTGTGATGGAGGGAGAGAGCCCCGGCGAAACTTAACAAAACAATTTGTTCCAAAGCAAACAGCGGCATCCGGTTTACTTGTGAATAAACAACGTGTTTATTTTCGGAGGCAACGGCCGCTCGACCCACGCCTCGTTCTCTCTCTCCTTTTTTTTCCTTTCATTCGTTCACTTAAAGGAGACTCGTCAACGACTCGCTCGCGAAATTATATTTCAGGCCTGGAATTTTGTTTTCGTTAAAGACACATTTTTTTTTTTTTTTTTCATTTTCCATCTCGCGTTGGATAAACGTTTTTACTCGCGTGAACTTTTTTTTTCCCCCAAAGCCAATGACCGTATATACTCATTCCGGAATTTGTCGAATTTGCGGGATGTACATCGCGCGGTACAAGAAGTATACGCGTAAAAAGTTGGGGCTCGGCGTGATTTTTCAGATGAATCCGCGAACGCGCGCAAACAACGGAGGAGAGGCGCGCTCGGGAAAGACAAACAGCGTAAAACAATCCGGCTTCGCGTTTGTGTTTAGTCGGTTCATCAGCGTCCCGACGCGCTCTTCTCTCGGCCGAGAGAGAGAGAGAGAGAGAGAAAAAACTTTCCGTGGAAAATTATTATATAATATATAGCGATGCATCTTTTCCTTTTTTTCTTCTTACCGTATTTACAATTACCTACATACCATCCCCTCAAAATCACCAATTTATTTCCAAACAGTGCACGTGACAATGCAACGATATTTTTTATTTTTTATGTTGCGAGGCAATTCTAACGCGTCATATACCTGTCTCTCGCTTCTTCGAGCCGCATAAATTAGCCATTCATGAGATTCGCGAGACGATAGCGCTAAAAAGCGGTCTTTTTGTCGAGATGTTTGTTTGCCGCGCGACGAGGACAAAAAGCCCCTTCTTTGTATACGTATATATATATACCCCTCGACACGTACATACATCTATACACGCACACACTTTTTTACACATCGTGGTGTGCAGGTATTATGAGCAAACCGAAGAGCAAAAGTAAAGTCGAGGTGACGTCACAGCCCCAGCACGTGTATGAGGTATATATATATACGTGCGAGCGGGTTAATTGTTGGGTGCATGTACACACACACACACATTTATCGCGTTGGCTGGGAAGTTGATTGTTTACCGAGACGTTTGTACAGAGCTTCGCCCACCGTAGTTATAATGTATCGTAAGTGTACCTATAGTAGGGGACAGGAAATTTCGAAATTGTATCTGTGTTTGTTCAACCCGAGTTTTTCCCAGCGCTCGAGTTCAATTAGTATCGTGCACGTATACGCTGTACATTTTGTCGTTTGTACATCAGTTGCGTTGTGTTGGGTGTATGTATCAAAAAATAACTTTGGCAAAAGAAAAAAAAAAAAAAAAATTGAAAACACCATCGTAAAAGAAAAGACGTGCGCAGCGCTTTTCGAGAAAAAGGGGTAAACTACCACCAAATTGGTGGAAAAGGGAGAAACAGGAGGCAGCAGTAACACACTCGTTTTCACATTTATTTCCGCTCTCGTACATTACAGGCATCAGCGTATATATACGGTGTACAAGCCAAAGGGGGGGAAAATGGACTCTTGTGTGTATGGGATTATCACCGTGCCCCCAACACGCGCACCATATATACATTGTACGTGGTGGAGGCGCACACGCGTGTATTTATATACACATATACTTTCAAAGAAGTAGAAGTACAGAAGAAGAAGAAGAGCGGTACAGAGGAGGGGAAATTCGGTGTATACAACAGCCGCAACCTAATTCGAGAGATAAGATAAGGTCGTAAAATGCATGGTGCGCCCGTGCGATACCACTTTGGTGTTTTATTGCCGTGTATCTTCTGCCACTATCTTTGCCTATCTTTCTCTCTCGCTTGTCTGACGGAGGTTATACCCGCGTATAAGAACGCTTGGGCCTTACTCCTGTGACACGGGCCATACGGGGATACCGAGGTATATTCTGGTAAAGGAAAGCACCTATGTACATAAGTATAGCCCTTGCGGAGCAACAAACGGGGTCGATATCGCGGATCGATTTCGAGGAAGCACAACGAGCTATTATAGCACAGAACTGATGCAACGCTACAATAAATAATCCACACGCACAAGTGGAGCAATGGAAATAGCACTGGACGAATCGGGAAACAAATCGCGGGACTTCCGCGAAAAGGCTTAACGAGTCCGCCAACTTTTTCGCCATTCCACGCCCACGCCCCCATTGCTCCTCTCAAAAGGATGATTGCGTCTCTCTCTCTCGGGTCACTCGTGGAAAATGTACGTCCATTCCTCTCCTCCTCCTCCGCGGAGGCGATTGCTCCGATTCACAGAAATTTCCACGGCTAATCGCGTGGGCGTCGACTTTTCCCGCGGCGCTCGTCTTTGACGTCCCCGGCGTTGGGGCTACCCTCTTGATTCACGAGGCGGCAATTTTATCGCTCTAATGTCACGGAATTATCGCCGAATTATATTTCAGCTTAATGCGATTTACGCGGAACTTTGCTCCCACCGCCGCGTGAGCTTTTTCATGTTAATTAAAAAAATTTTCACCCCCTCCCCCCCCCCCAACCGGACTGCGGCTCGATTTATACACGCGCCCCGGAAAGTTGAACGGCGACGACCACTGCTTTTCAAGCCAATACATACTTATACACTCGATATGCTCCGTGAGTTATATTGCTGTACGCTTGAGATGCAAGTATATTTTTATTGATAACACCGCGTTCACATAGGAAAAATGAAATTATTGGGAATTACAGTTGATGGTGCTCCACAATCGGGTACAAAAAGATATTCACGCGCAAAAAAAAAAAAAAAAAAAAAAAAAAGAGCGTAACATTACCGGAGCGAAATCCGCTCGAGTACGTTTTCATTTACCGTCAAAGTGGATTGCGGCCGAATAAAGCCACCACCACTTTTGCCACGAAAAATCGTGAAATCGCAAAAAAAAGGGGGGGGAGAGAAAAACAGCACAGCACGCGCGACGAGGGTAATAGGTAGGCTTTGGCCCTCTCGAAATAAAAAGAGGAGTGAGGGAGGGAGGAAAAAAAAAAGAGTAAAACAGGGAAGACGAAGCGTTTCTCATTACGTGGACGTGATTTATGCGCGTGCCGGTGTTAAGGAGAAGGAAGATTTTTCGGTATAAGGCGAAAGACGCGGGGTGGGTGAGGGCAAAAGTTAAAAGAAAAATAAAGCTTATGGGGTGCAAAGTTGAGGGACGCTCCCTGCAGCGCCGGGACATACATCTCGGAGGAGGTTGACAACGAGCGTGGAAATTTTGGACTCGGAGCTTTTTTCCCCGAAATCTATATTGATTTAGAGCTTGCACCGCGATTTTTTTTTTTTTTTTTTTTACATCTCTCGCGTGTGTTAAAGCGAAACAACGAAACTCACGTTTTTTCGGAAGCATCAACGAGCCCCTCCGAATTCCCTGCAAACACTCGTCCGCCAAAAGCATAAAAGCCTTCAACGAAACACTCGACGCGCGAACCATTTGGGTAAATAAAAGAAAAACCGAGCGCTCCTCGACGTCTGGTTTTTTGATGAAAAAAAAAGCTGAAAACGAAAAACCCTGAGTTCAACATCGCTCGGCCACTTAAAAACGCTCAAACGAGGAGAGAACATACACGGAAAAGAAGAAGAAAAAGCGGGACGAAAGAAAGCAGCGCAAAGCGTAACACGAAAACGCGTTTAGCCTGTGCACACACGCGTACATAATATAATACTATGTACGAACGAGTCGAGTGCCTCGAAAAATTTTTGTTTCAACTTGAGGAAAATTTGGAAAGCCCCCCCTCTCTATACCCGAGTGCCTATATTATCATTCATTCATACATACACACTTTATTGAGCCGAATAATAATTGTTCCCTCGAGTGCTTGCACTCATACATCTTTAGTGCAACGCGTTGTACAGGCCTTCCCTCCCCCACTTTGGGCTCTTGGCAAAAAAGCGAAAAGGATATGTTTAATTTTTCAGCAAAACAAACATCGACGGGAACGCGTGTTTGATGTTCGGTGGCTACACATATGCTTCAAAACAAAAGAATCACGTGCACTTGGGTTATTCACTTTTTTTTTACTCACCCTCTCCATTTCCCATGTACGAAATTTACAGCCATTAACACACCGAGAGACAACGAGCAACAGTAACAAATTTGTCGCACTGATTGCAGGGTCACCTCGGCGAGAGTCCATTCGACAGCGGCTCCTGGGGTAAGGATCACTTCCAGCCGACCTCGGTTCCCTGGCAGGCGAACCCACACGGCCACGGCCGAACAACCGTAAGTATACCCACCAACGTCAAATCCAACAATTTGCAAACCCAACCACGACCCTTTGACCTAAACGAGAGAAAAAGAAAAAAAACCACTCCAACTCGAAGCGATTAGGTGCCCGTGCGGTCATTCGAACCACAAGCAACAAGGAGACCAAGGGGGGGTGGTCCATGTGCGAGACCGGGCATTTAATCCCGTTTAATAGACTGTAAACGCAGAGAGAGAGAGAGAGAGGCCGAGCTTGCGAGGAATTTAATGGACAACTGATACTAATCCCCCTGGCGCACTTTTCCCTCCGGCCATCGGTTAACAAACGGCGGGAGCAGCGGCATACGTATACACGCAACGAGAGGGGCTAATCGTCGCGATGGCTCGTTAAATGGCCTCCACGGCCCGTTAAATAATGTTATCGGTCTCGGGTGTGGACCCAAAGGGAGAACCGACGACTGACCGTCTTTCGAGGGATTTATGGCCACGTCCGCGCTGGTTTATTAAGACCCATACGGGCCCCAATAACCCTACAACATACTTTTGGAGTTTTTTTTTTTTTTTTTTCTAAGCCAACTTTGGCCATTTTTGCCAAACAATCGTTGCGATTTTTCACTTTTCCCATCTAGGTGTAAAGTCCCGTCAAAGCACACAAATCGCAGCGATGATCGCACCCCCTCGAAGCTCCGATGAGTGGCGTTATAAAAAGCACGATCCTCGGAATTAACGTTAATTACCGTCGCTACGGCATGGCTCTCATTTTTCTCCCCTCGTCCCGCTTCGGCCAAAGGGCCTAAATCACCGTAACAATGGGAGCGGCTGTATATGTAAGACGGCGCGGAAAAGAAAAGCCGGAGGATGAAATTTGTAATTCCGGCATTACGGTACAAGGAGCCCCGAGTATATAAATAACGCCGGGCTTCCTCTTTTCTTTCCTCCTCGCTTGTTTTCGAAAGTTTTCTCGCGTTGCTCGGGCATTTCTCTCCCATTGTTTGCAAAAACGTACAAGCCTGTCAAGTATCAATGTCGCTGTCGAAACAAGGAGGTGTCGCAACGCGTTTCTCACATACCGGACTCTTTTTGTTTGGATAAAACGAGCGCGCGCGCGAATCGGTTATTGTTTTTGTAAAGCCACAGAAGTAAATACGATTCGGTGCTCATTGGCAATTTGCTGTTATTAGCGGGAGTCACGTACAGACGCCGGAATCACGTCCTCGAAAATACCTGACGTGCCGCAGTGGTATGCAAATTTTTTTTTTTCTCTCGTTTGACCGTACATAAGTGTACATTTGTTAAAGATAAATGAACTACGAGTCGCGTTGATACTGTCTCCTATGGCGTACGTAAGAACACGAGTATTGTATACGAGATTGTGCGGGAGCTCGCGTTACCACTTAGATGTTCATCCGAGCGAAATACGTCGCACACGCGCTATCGCTCCCCGAAACGCTGACTGCGGATGCGCACGTGCATCTAGATTTACAAGCACACCCATCTTTATACAATGTCGCTTTTCCGCGATGTTGTTTTAATTTTTATCTCTTCTCGTAGTTGAAAATAATTCATTATCAAAATGAAAAAAAAAAAAAAAAAAAAAAAAAGTAAGTATACACTTACGCCAAACGCTCTATCGTCTGTAGGTATATTATGTACGTGTGACATGCGGAGATAACGATTTGCGCATGCAAATGACGTATCGAGAAACGAGGCCACTCGACAGCTATAGCCGTATCTCCCCCGCGTTTTTCTCCTCTCGTACGATCGCTGACGTTTGTCGTTCGTTTTTTTTTTTTTTTGCTCGTACCTCACACACGCACGCTCTCGCTCTTTCACTAGAATCGCCTATTATCCGCCAAAGTTTCTTCTTCTTCTTCTTCTTTCATGTGTATAAATAATGACGCACGTGTTTACGAGTTTGTTCTTGCGTGGGCGATATTTATTCCCGAGCGAGCGCAGTGTAAGGTAAGCAAATTTCTTTTTTTTTTTTTTTTTGTCCCCCAAAACGCTTTAGCGTCTCGGAATAAATAAAATACGGAAGTTTGTAGGTGCCACCACCGGCGCACAGTGAGAGCGCGTCAATATTACAGGCAGAAATCCGCTACTGTCCATATGCGATCGTGCGAGCGTGCGAGAACTGCGATCATGTGAAAGAAATCCTCATCTGCAATATGGGTACATAAAAAAAAGCCCGCAGTGTTTACACCTACTGCGTTGTAAAAAAAAGTTGCAATCAACTGAAAAAGTATCTCGTAACCTCCCTTCTGTGCAATCTAACTTAATTTGCTTTGTAGATTAGGACTCGAGGAAAAATTTGTTTCACCAACAAAACTCTGGACTTTCGTGTTTATAAGTTTGACAGATGGATAACATTTCTTACATAACAGTTTTTAACAGTGAAAAACTTTTGTTTTTCAAAGTACAGAATTAGCTTTTTAGTCTAGCTACACTGAAAGTATATTTCAAAGAAGCAACGGGTATATTCTACAAAAACAATGCAGCAGTAGTGAACATTACATTAAATTCAGAGGGTACGTTTAACTTAATTCCAGGCGTAAAGTCGTACAAAGTATCATCACAGACATTAGGTATTTATAAAACACTACTCCTGTAAAGTATTTACTATTTGTAATGAATCATTGATTTTTACGGATAGGATTTCTCAAGATAAATGCAGAAAAATTATTTATAATTATTTCATGAGCAACTATCAATACACAGATATATGCCACATGTTAAAAGTAAAACATAACATCAACATTTCCATCAGAACCTTAAAAAGAATACTTAAAACTATGAAATTGAGAAGAAAAAATGTAATCAAGAGTCCGCCAATAGATATTTAAAAGGCCATGTTTTCAGAACTGGAAAGCAGTGGCTATAATTTAGGATATCGAGCATTATGGCTACGCTTACTCAAGCAGTATGGGTTATCGGTTAAACAAAAAATTGTGTTGCGACTACTAAATATTATTGACCTTAAAGGTGTGCAAAGAAGAAAAAGAAACAAATTACACAGGAGAATATACAAAGTCAAAGGACCGAATTTTGTGTGGCACATCGACGGATATGATAAGATTAAAAGATATGGTTTTGCAATCCATGGATGTATCGATGGCTTCTCCAAAAAGATTCTCTGGTTGGAGGTTTCATACACAAACAATGATCCTCAAGTAATTGCATATTATTATTTAAGTGCAGATACTAATTTAAATTGCGTTCCAACGTTAATAAGGTCGGATAAGGGTACTGAAAATTGTACAATAGAGTGCATGCAACAATGTTTACGTTTTGAACACAAAGATCCATTACTTACCAGGAAAAAAGAGTTTTATTAAAGGTAAGAGCACAGTTAATCATAGAATCGAGTCCAGTTGGTGTCAGTTACGGAATATGGTGATTGGTTTTTATATCAATCTATTCAAACAAATAGAACATGATAATACCTTAGATCATAGTAATTGGCTGCATCTGGAATCCCTAAGGTACTGTTTTGGTCTCTTAATTAAACAAGATCTCTGCAATTACTGCAAGGAAAGAATGGAATGCACATATAATTAGAAAGCAAAATAATAGAAATTTGTTTGGTGGTCAGCCAAATCTAATGTATAATTTTCCTAAACATTATAACGCACAAGACTGCAGAAAACCTACATCAAAAAAGCAAATTAAGATTTTACTGGATAATTATGCAAAAAAACCTTATCTAATCAACACAAACTTTGCAGATACAGTCAAACAAAAATTTTCAGCATCACCTAAAAATGCGGAAGAAGCTTATTACTTGTTCATGCAAATTATTGATAGCGTCGATGCATCTTCCTTCTAAATCGTGTATTTTGTAGATAATGACTTTCATACTAAAGTGTAAATAGTTTATGACAGTAATACCCACTAGTTCAGTTACATTACAACATATTCATAATATGCTATGTATAATGTTGAGACTAAAGGAACTTCATTTTTTAACTAATTAGAGCGAGTAGTAGCGTACACCAATATGCAATACGTATAATTACACACTTAACACACAGCCATTACCACTATATAATAATCAGTTAATCACTGGACGACTGGACTAAAGAGATGTAGGTAGTTAAGTGTCACAACAACAGACAGTCACCATAAACATGTTTGATATACTTACCTTTGCAGTGTTGTTGTACTTCTCTAGGTTAAGGCCTAATGTAAATATGTAAATAAAATCATTTAGCAAGTAAATTCTGAGTCTTCAATTCCTCTGCCCAGGCTTCAACGAAGGACTGGATGTTTTCAGTTCACATCATCGGTCATCCGAAGGCTTCGTGCCAGGCTATGCTTTCACCAATTGCTGAATATCAGACACTCAAGTCTTTGCATCTTCTGGTCGGATTTCGACAATAACAAGATTTTTTCAGTTCACGTCAAAAACCTCTTACCATACACCAGCTTGCACAAATGAAGTTCTGTGCTTTTTCTATCAATAGCAGCTGAATCACAACCACCTTTCGTGATACCTGTCGTGTATTTTCAAGAAAAATAATATTTTGGTTAAAAAACATGTAGGTCTCAAAGTGTTGTTCAATTAGGTTTGTACAGAGTGTCCATAGTTGTATAATTTTTTATAGTTTACAAATTTCTAATGAGAAAAAAAATCATTTATTTAGTTTTCGAGGCTGCAATGTATGTGTTTTAGAATTTTGGTGGCACCTACAAGCTTCCGTAATAAAAACAAAACACACCCACTGAATATCCGAATCGCAAGCATCGAGTTTTCCCATCCGATCGTATATACGCGTGATGGACATGAATTTTCCCTCGTCGCGTTTCAAGATTCGTTTTCGTGCTTGCGAATCAATGGTAAATTACAGACGAACATGAATTTGCCGTCCCGGTGGCAGAAGTCGCCCACCGCGACCTATTAACGTAATGAATAAGTGAGGCAAAAGAAAAAGCGACGTTACAGCCGTATACGTATGTATGATTCATCGCGTGAGGAAAAAAAAAAGGGGTAAAAGTATATGATCGGACGGCATAAGTAT